AACAAGGAAGAGGAGCCTCCTGCTGTATAATTCCGACTCTGAATCAGAGGATGAAGATGGGCCCAAAGGAGCCTTGGCCCGCTACAAGGCAGAGCCTACCATCAGTGAGAGAGACTGCCCACTGCAGTGGTGGTCCACTCATGAGAGAGCCCATCCACAGCTCTCTGTCCTGGCCCACAAGTATCTAGGCAGCCCTGCCACTTCGGTACCCTGCGAAAGATTATTCTCCCTGGCAGGTAATATAGTTCAAAAGAAGAGGGCAGCCCTGAGCTCCGAAAATGTGAACAGGCTAGTATGTCTCAGCAACTGGCTGAAAGAGAGGAAGTAATCAGTTAAATGTGTATCCTGAGGCCAGTTGGCCAGTTGTGTTTCAAATGGGAAAAATTGGAGGTCAATCACTGTCACTTTATGTTGAACTGAACTGTCTGAATGGCCAATGTTATAAAGAGTTGGACTGAATTTCATTTAATTTCTGACTTATTTTTTGTAAACAGTTGAACTGTTGATAAATCCACGAATTGTGTTAAAGCCTCAGAGGCTTTTTGTTCTGAATGTACTTGAGAGTATTGCATTTTTGCGTTTAAAAAGCAGTATTAAGCTCTACCTATACCTATAGAGCTACCTGAATTTCTGAGTTTAGCGTTCCTAAATATGTTGAACTTTAAAATTTGCACAGGCCTGTTGATATTTCTTTAAAAAAAAATAAACAAACAATATTTTGTCTATTAAGCTTATGTGTTGTCATTCAAAATCCATGTGGAAAAAGTTATTTCCTGCTGTTTCAAAGTATGCGATTAAAATGCGATTAATTCGATTAATTAATTTCACAGCCATGCGATTAATCGCGATTAAAAATTTTAATCGCGTCCCACCCCTAGTGTTTATATTTACAAAAAAACTATTCTAAAGTTCATTCTGCATCACATGAGACAATGGAAATAAAACAATCTAGACTGTGGATTGATTCCTGTTTCTTGTTATAGCCAGCCTCTAGCATTATCCCTCTTGCAAATACCTGTAAAGCTCAGATTAGAAACATACAGTGATACCCTCTAGTGGACGGCGGTGATATTACAACACTGAAAGAAATTCTAAGCATGTTATTAATTAGTCCAGATGGAATACATTTTTTTTTAATCTAACAGGCCATTAAATCAACAGCTATTAATTAGTTGATTATATGTTTACATGCCTATAACTTACCCTCATGATCCTGTCGTTCAGGATACGAGCGGCTTCATTATCAGTCATGTCAGTGTTGGAGATGGCATTGGCGATGTCGTCAGCTGCACGCTTGTAGGCGCCGCGTGCACGGTTCAGCCAGCTAGGACTGACATCCTTCAACTTCCCAGCCTGCAGGATTAAAGGTAACAACACACTATGAGCACTTTGCCATGCCAAAGCAAGGCAAGTTTATCTCTAGAACACAATTCTGTGCAAAGACAATTCAAAGCCCTTTATATAAAATGAATAAAAAAATACAAGATATTGGGTAATATAACATCAAATTCTAACATGAGAAAGATCACCTGTGTGAGCTGGTTGACTTGCTTGTAGATCTGGAGCACAGATTTGGTGATGGGGCCGTAGTATCTGCCTACGTCCAGATGGAGCAAGTGGTCATGGACCAAGCGCAGCGTCATTAGGCCGGCAAACTGCGCTGCTGCAGCTGTGACGTTGCTGGTGCGGTGGTTGGTTTTGTAATTCAGGTGATCCATGTTGTCCAGGGCGGTGCCGTAATAAGGGTACGAAGCAGTCTTAAACTGAAAAGGGAAACGCAACAATGAATCTCCACAAATCAAAGTGGACCTTCTGACTATAGACAAAAGCTTAATAAGTGTCTTTTACCAACAGTAATTACACTTTAGTAACGACCACTTCAATAAGCTAAAATCAAACTACAATCATGCAGTGTTGGACAATCACTAATTATATAATGATTTCAAACAGTAGGTATGGATGTCCCAATACAACTTCTTCATTTCCAATATGATACCGATAAGGCAGCTTTGAAAACTGGCCAATGCCCATAGTGACTCTATATGATACTAGCACAAATCATACCTGCTTTTATTATTTAGTTTTTGCACAGTAGATTGTTAGAAAAGGTCTTATCAAGTAATATTTTTTAAAAACTGGGAACAAAAGTAAAAAGGTACAAAAACTTTGCTCATGAAAATGAACCAATGAGCTACAGAAACTTTAGACAGACTTTTAGATGCTGGCCGATAAATAATACTTTTTTTGGCTAATATTGGAGCGATATGCAACATCAAAATCAGACCGGGAAATCCCTAGCATTAAGAGGCCATTTTGTTTCGCTGTTATTCTCCATCTCAGGTAATATCTTTAATAATGCGATTATATTTTTAAGAAAGGGGCATCAACAGACTTTGTTGCTATTTACTGCTCATTTCTTTATTTTTCTTCCCAATAGGAGTTCAGTCTTCATGTTTTTCATTGTGACTTTCCTATGTAAAGGCAATAAAAGTGTAGCTTCTTCCACAAACTTTTTGTCCTGCAAAGGGTTTATGGAAGTGCAGCCAGTGACCCATTTCTAGGAAGTCACTGAAAGAACTGCTGCTACCAGGAAATAAGTGCATTTTTTTCCACACAAAGAAAGTGATCCTGATCTAGTTACTCTGGGATTTTTTTTTCTTCAAAGCTATCGTCTGTCCATTCAACCCCCAGCAGGTAGCAGCACATAGACACTCACACCCAGCCTGCTAATAAATACCTCAATAGAAAGGCTGTATTACTTTGATATCATGGTCTAACATTAACTTTTGCATTATGACCTAGATGCCACTGGTTTATTTGATTTCATGACTAAATCTGGTTAGGGTTTCATTTACATTTCAGTAACAGACATTTTGGAGATTTTAATTAATCACAGTCTCGGTTAAAAAAAGAATGGATAAAAGTGTCGCACCTGCGTGAAAATCTGCTTCTAAAAAAAAACAAAACAATAAAGCTTTTCTGATTTGAACAGAAGACTTACATCTTTTGAAATGAAGTGGAAGGAAATGGAGGGAATGCCAGCAAAAGCCAGGAATGGATAAGCAGGATCCTCCATCGACATGGGCCTGAGACTGCAACCAGAAAACATCATTTAAACAAAGAAATAAAAAACACTTTGTTTGCACATTCTCTATTAATAAAGCTTTTGGTTTTAAAATCTAGTAGAGCACCAACTCTCTTCTGGAAACAATGTGGCATCTGTACGGCCACATGCTTATATTATGAATATATAAAATGTGCTGTGGGTTAGTAAACAAATTAACTTAAAGTCAAACTGTTCTTTGAAACACATTTTATGTGAAATATCTGCAAAAAAGGTAAGAAATATTCCCAAAGAGAACTTTGATTAATAGAACAAAAAAAGACACCAGTGATACAATTAGCGATGCTAATAATCCCAAGAATGTGAAGATTGTCTTCTATTCACACGTTACATTTCTTAGTTGATCAGATCGTCTAAACGTTTCTCATAAATAATAAATTACTTCCTGTTTCCTGGAGGTATGAATATAATTTGACAGAATTCCTTTGATGCACATGTGATTTTGATGAAAAAATAAAAATAGTCCTTACATTCCAATTTAACAACTGCAACATAAACTTATTCAAATTAAAAGCTATTATTAATTTTATATCTTTATTGCTTAGATGACACATGCTCATTAAAGCTGATATTCAAAGTATTGTTCTGATCTTTTTTGTAAAATAAAACTATTTTTTTCTTACACTAGATCAACTGAAGTATAATGAAATTTATTGTGATTTCATTAAGGGCCATTGTGAGCTTTAGTCATTTATTTTCAGTAGATTGTTTTAGTTGGACATTTTACTTACACTTCAGTCTCCCATTTCTGGGCTCCCATTTCATTATAGATTGAGGACACTTTTTGAGGCATTTTCACCTGCAGGAAAAAGACAAACAAAGTTGAACCAATGAGCCCCAGCAGGTCTGCAGAGCATCAGGCTCATCATCAAGTTCTGTTTTACCTCCTTCATGGTGCTTTCCATGAGGCTGTACAGCAGCGGACTGGCGGAGGCGATGAAACTTTCGCGACCTGTCAGAGACAAGCTTCATCAGCTGGAACCACTTCTAAACATGTTCTTTTTTTGGCTTGGTATAGGACTTACCCATTACTACTCCATCCAGGTTTATGTATGTGACGACATTTTGGTCAATCGAAGACATATAACCCTAAAAAAAAAAAAAAGAGACATTAGCAAATTGATCCAAGCAGGAAGCTCAGTTATATCTCATGTGCTTCTCACCTCCAGCCACTCTGTGGCGCCAACGCTACCAAACTCTCCAGCGCTCCAGCTGGCAAAGATAATGCTTCTTTTTGGCCTGAACCCATCTAAAGGGGAAAACGTTAAAACATTTTACATCAACAAAATAGGAATACAGGCAGAGCCGCAATGCAACGCTCCTCATTTTAGTTTAGGTGGAAGGTATGGGGGACAGAGAAAGGCTAATGTAACATTTAAATAATGCAATTGAGAAGCTTTTTCTAATAGCATATTTTAAATTCAGTTGTTAAAGAGGAATAATAAATTGTATCCATTATTAAATACTGGAATTTGAAGATGTATTTTCAACCCCTTTTTCTAAATAGACATTAAGGTTAATCAGAAATACTTTTGCAAATCACACATTTAAAAAAAGTTATTCCATTTTCAACTTTTATTTTTAAATTTGAAATAGTTTTTTCTTTTTGCTTTATCCTCTCCATCTTCCTTTTCTATTACCTTTCTGGTCCCTGAGCTCACTGAAAATGGAGTTTTTCCTCCACTGATGTCACCAACCCCCTCATTGGTCATTCTCTTAAAGTGTGGCTAACGAAACCATAAACATTATATATATAGATGCCTAATATATATATATAAATATATGGCACACATTAACTGATTAAAGAACAAGTGTTCTCATATGCATAAATATCCATCCATCCATTTTCTGTCACGCTTTATCCCAAGCGGAGTCGTGAGGATGATGTGCCCATCTCCAGCTGTCTACGAACGAAAGGCGTGTCCACTGTGGACAGGTCGCCAGTAAGCGGGTCCGCCCTGGACAGGTCGCCAGTCCATCGCAGGGCAACACAGAGACAAACGACCATTCATATGTGCGCTTGGAGGTTTCTTCTTGGATAACCATTCTTACCTTTCTCCACCATCTCATGAAACGTCTTGGCCAGCTCGATCAGCACAGAAGTACCAACAGTGGCTTTGGTGTAACCTGCCCCCCAGGCGTCCCTCTGAGCTCCCAGCACCACATAACGATCTGCATATTCGTAATAAAAAACTCTGCTCAGTAACGAAGATCCTTGTAGGAACCAAAAACACAAATAACCAGAGAAAACCTACCAGGATCAGTAAATCCTTTGATCACTCCAAACACATTGTGAATCTCCTTGTTGACCAAGACGTTGTTCACTTCAACAGTGATGTTCTGAGTGCCGCCCAGATTGTAAGCCACAGACTTCAGCTCACCCCTGAAATCACTGCCTCCGTCAGGACCACCGATTTTTCTAAGAAAGAAAAAGAGACGTGAACTTTCTTCACATAAAGTTACAGTCAATTTAAAAATTTAGTCTTGATGTGGACTTTAAAGTGATTTATTTAGACCAAAACCACATACATTTTCAACATTCAGAAGATTTCCAAAGTTTTGTGATGATATGTCAACTTGTAACCAGTTTAATGACACTTCTGTCACGGCCCGAAGAGGTCTGCATTGATTTTACCAGCACTAAGCAACTTTGGGGAGGGTGGCAGTAATCCTGGCACATGTGCAGGAATACAGTAGAAAACTAGAACCACTCACAGGCAAAAATGATTTTGGCCACTGG